AAAGATCTCCCTTCACTTTGCGGTTTGTTCTCGCCAAGGGCAAGGGCAGTATTCAGGCCCCTGTCCCTCTGTGGCCTGCTCACCTTTTCCAGGGTGATAGTGTTCTTCCTGGCCTGCGTTACTAGTGCGGCCATCTCAGCCTTGAATCGCTCCACGTCCTTGCACTCACTGGCCCGAGCGTGATGCAGGATGAGCTCAGCCACTCTTTGGCCCTGGAAGATACAAAAAAAGAAACTTGGTAGAGCTGGAAGGGCACAAAATTAAAAGATCTGCCCACACTCCTTCATATCCTAGTTGTTCCCACCTAGTTCTATCTTGCCCTTGGCCACTGCTGCCCAACCAGCCTAGCCTCAGAGCCAGAGCCAGAGCCACCAGGACCTGTCACCAGGCCGGACCAGCCACACTGTCTGCATGGGCTCCCTTCCGGCCCCAGCGGAATCCCCTCCTCACCGCCTCTGTGCTGCAGCCTTCTCACTCCTCCTCTGCCCAGGACACCACCTGACCAAAGCCTCCATGGTCTCCCCAAACACCCACCTACCCTGGTAGTCACTGCTAATGCCTTTCATCTCCCTCCTCAGGCTGTGACCTTCGTCCACCCAAGCCTGGCAGGGGAACATGCCCCACCCTACCTGCCACCGTGGCCCAGGCTCACGCCTCTGCCCCCTCAGAAGCCTCCTAAGCAGGAGCTAGCCTTCCTAGTGCCCACTGCACACTTGTTGAAGAAGGAAGAGAAACTACCACACAAACTGCACGACTACAAGATGGCATTTTGGAAGGAGGCATTTCTTCCCATCCCAAATCATGAGCTGCTTTGGAACTGGCCTCAGTCACGGGCGCCAGCACCTTCTGACTAAAGACCAGAGATGCTTCTGTTAGGAGCACCCGTGGCAAACGGCATTTACAAGAACAAAGGCTGAAGAGCCCTAAAGTTCTCAAGAGCTTCAAGGATTTGGGCCCAACTCTCAAGAGCCCAGTGGGTCTCACCTGCCCCATTGCTACGGCCATGAAGACTGCGTGGAAGTTCTTCAGATCAGCAGCCTGCAGCTCAGCCACAATACCAGCATCCAGGAGCACCAGGCGCAGTGGGCACCGGGCAGGCGTCATGGACACCACCAGTGTGTCACAAACATCCGCCTGCTGCAGTCGTGCCTCTTGGCTCTTGGAAAGACCATCGGCACCCTGGACCAGGATGTTCCCAGGGTGAAGGTCCGCATGGACAAAGTTGTCTACAAATATCTGGAAAGAGAGCAGCAACTATTCAAGGCTAACCCAGCCCTCACCACCCCATCACCACCAGGAAAAGCTTCCAGGGTGATGGTGTGTTCCCAGTGATCCATGGCAGAGAAGTGTGCGTTTGATAAACTAATTCATTGTCTAATGACATCAGTTCAGAATTTGTACAGGGACAGGACAGGTTGATGTTTTCAAGAGAAAAGTTATTTTCAAAGTAAAGAGCATTAAAAAATATTATAGGAAACATGAAAGGTTGCAGGTCAATCCCTGGTGGGAGTGGGTACAGGAGGCAACCAATCAATGTTTCTCTCATACATCAATGTTTCTCTCTCTCCTCCTTCCCCCTCCTTTCTCTCCATTCCCCACTCTCTTCCCCTCTCTCTAAAATCAGTATAAAAGCCCTAGCTGGTTTGGCTCAGTGGATAGAGCATTGTTCTGTGGACTGAACGGCCCTGGGTTCCATTCCAGTCAAGGGAGCATACCCGGGTTGCAGGCTTGATCCCTACTAGGGTGCATGCAGGAGGCAGCCGATCAATGATTCTCTCCCATCATTGATGTTCCTATCTCTCTCTCCCTCTCCCTTCCTCTGTGAAATCAATAAAAAAATATTTTTTTACAAAAATAAAATCAATAAAAAAATAAATTTATTTTTTAAAAAATTATAAAACAAAATAATCTACTTATTGTTTAAAGATTTTCCCCAAACCTCTCTGCTCTTAAAATTCATGGACCTTCCGCCTAGCCGGTTTGGCTCAGTTGATAGAGCATTGGCCTACAGGCCAAAGGGTCGAGGGTTTGATTCCAGTCAAGGTCAAAGGCAGGTACTAGTAACTTGGTTGCAGGCTCCTCCCTGGCCGAGCCCTGGGTCGGCTCCTGCAGGAAACAACCAATTGATGTGTTTCTCTCACATTGATGTTTCTCGCTGTCTTTCCCTCTCTCTTCCACTCTCCCTAAAAATCAATGGAAAAATATCCTCGGGTGAGGATTAACAAACAAACAAAAATTTTTCATGGAACTTCCTTTCTTTCAAATATTTCATAACTCAGGCTTCCCCTCCATTACCTCCATTTGTCCACACAGTGACATGTAACAGCAATACTAACCACCACCTACTGGCAGAGAATCAAGTAGACAAGGAGAAATGGCTTTGAAACTACTAAGCAGGAAAGAAAGCCCCAGGAACTATGATAGACAGAAAGTCAGGTGTGACTTTGGGGAACAAAAATCTGCCTCCCATGAAAGAGAGAAACCACTCAGTGGTCAGAGAAACCACTAGCAATCCTAGAGAGGAAAAAGGGGAGCCCAGTGCAGAGGCACAGAGCAGTTGCTTCAGAGGGGCTCTCAGCGGACTCCTCCTGGCCCAACAGAGCACCTCCTCCTGGATGCAGGCCATAGTGACCCTCCTTAATCCAGACCCTGGCTTTACTTGACATAGGGAGGCTGCTACCTAATGAAAATCCTGGGACCCTGACCCAAGCCTGGCACCTTGCTGTCAGCTCATTCCCTCAGGACCTATGCCCCTATCCTTGACCCCAGGAGCTGGAAGCCCCCATAATCTCCCACTCCAAGGCACTGCTTACTGCTGCTTCTACCCTGGCTACTCCCCACTGCACCCTCCCCTCTACCCACAATGTCTCTTGGTACCTCTGTCAACTGAGCTTCCACTGCACTAAGTGGAAACCTGGCTCTCCCACAACAACCTCTCTTCTCCAGGAGCCCCTTGGGTGGGGGCTGCTGACCTGGAGCTGAAGGTGAAGTCAGGGCTCCCAGCCCTGAGCCCTCTCTGCAGGAGCGCTTAAGCTTCCACCATGCTGTCAGCTTGCACCCACTACCATCCTGCTCGCCTCGGCCCCTTCATCTCGGTCATATCAGTTCCCCACTCTCGGACCACATACCTGGTTCCTTCTTATCCCAACTTTGCACCCTCTAGACCTGGGCACTCGTCCTGCCTATCTAGCCTAGACCCTGCCATCCATCCCTCCAACACTCTGTGCCAACCACCAGGAAGACCTCAGACCCTCAACAAGTACCTGTATCTTCTTTCTTTGCTCCTGCATGTGAGCTGCTAGCAATGCTGGGTTGCCACAATTACTGCTAATGATGCTGATAACTAACATTGCTTTGGGTTCACTACGTCCCTTTCTGAGTGCCAACTCATTTAATCATTGTCAGGCCGTCCCCCTCATAGGTGACACCTAGGCTTCCCTCATATGCCAGCTGATCTGAAGCCACTTCCTGAATAAATCCCTGGGCTGGGTCAGGCCCCTCCTAAATGCCCCCTTGGTGTCTGTACCTACCCTGTATATAATTTACTTATTCATGGACAGTCTTCCCACTAAACGGTAATTCTGTGAACATTGTAATCCTGTCTCTTTTGCTCACTACTATAAAGCCAGCACTGTCTAACACATAGCAAATGCTCAATACGTACTTGCTGAATGAATGAAGGAAGTAGATGTAATATATGATGTTGTCTTAGGTTGTTTGTAGGCAACTAGGTCTGGGCTTGGGTCTTGTTCCCCACCCTTCCCATAGCACCTTGCACGGCGACAGAGCGCAAGCCACTGAGAAAGTGCTTAACAAAGCTATAGAATGAATGGCTATCTTGGTAGGCTCAGCTGTTTTTAAAGCAGACTCTACACTGGGCTTGCCCTCCACCCAGTGTAGCTGAGCAGTGTCCCCACCATTTCCCACATGCAATTGGGCCACATGCGCCTGAGCACCCTCTCCAAGCCCATGAGCTCACCATCTTCAGGAGCATGTCGATCCCCAGCCGAGCAATCTTCCTCTTCAAGTCCACGGGAATCCCTGCCTGCTGGTAACTGGACACGGGCACGCTCTCCTTTAAGAAGATCAGGGAGGGAACAACTTTACCCTGGACAGCTCTGCTCCTCATCCCCACGGCACACATGCTGTTGCCTTCCCGTCGATTAGGAAGTGACCCAAAGAGTTTTTCCTTTCTTAGACCCGCTATGAGTGTGTCCCCCACAAGCTGATTTTAACCTATTTACATTTCCCTTCCATAATACTTTTCAAAGGAAAACAAGTCCCATAGATTTATTAGAGAGGAAACCCATTGACTTTGCCACCCACAGGTAAGGATATCGCAATGTGGTGGGAAGAGACAGTAACAGGCCCCAGAGAGCTAGTTACTGGTCAAGAACCAGCTAATAGAGACATGAATGAATTCTGTGACCTTGAGCAAGAACAGAGGGGCAAAGAGGGAAAAGAGAAGAAAGAGGAGCTAATAAATAATCATTTCATATACTTAGTTATTTGTCAGAGCAGCCCACTAAGATAGATTTTTGTTATCCCTAATTAATAAATAAAAGAACTAAAGCCCAGAGAGGTTAAGTAACTTGCTCAAGGCTACACAGTAACTTTGGGAGGTAGCATTACTTCCCTGCATCTCATATTACCTACCATCTTTACAAAGGAGGCTGGAGCAGGAGACAGCTAAGGCCAGTGACATGACACAAACACATGTTGAGCACTTTCTCTGTGCAAACTCTAGCTGAGGGCATTTTGCATTGTGTGTCACTGACTCCTGGGAGAACCCCATGAGGCAGGAAGAGTGGCCTGCTGTCATACATGAAGAAACTGAAGTCGTTCAACAAATAAAGTGGCAGAGCAGATTTTCAAATCCAGAAGGTCTGAGGCCACACCCAGGCTCTCAGCCAGCTCACTATGCTACTGCCCACCTCGGATCACATCTGAAGTCCTCACACATGTAATCACATGCTCTCTCGCGGCTTTTGTCTCTGCAGACTAAAACCACCAAGTGGAGCAGAGACAGCCCAGCTGTGAGTGAAAGGCCCAGCCAGGTAAGTTCTGATTCTTACTTCATATGTTTCCACCAAAACATCCCTGGTGACAAAGGGATGCAGAGGGGTGGGGAATCTGACAGACTTCACGTTCAGGAAGTTGCACTGGAAGTGCTCGAGATTCCGAGCTTCGTAGCGCAGGTCGATCTACAGGGAAGTGAAGAGAGAAGATGAAGGGGTCGTCGGGGCACAGGGATAACAACATCTGAACTGCCAAAGAGCTAGCAAGTCACAGAGTCACCTGCTTCTCCTGCACAGACAGCTCCCCGGAGACATGAGAGGAGGCATCCTGTGACTAAAGGCCTCCCCCCAAGCCCCCAACCTCCTCCTGAACTCCTCTAAGCTACAGATAGCAGACACCATTGCATTACCTGGGCTTCCCTGCTTCTCTGCTCTTCCTGCTCTGCCCACCCCCTTCACACCAGCCATAGACCCCTTCCCCACCTCCCGGGGGTTCAGGGGGGTTCAGCTTTGTGGCCTTTCCACACCACTGCTTCCCAGGCCAATACTAGCCTCTGCCCTCAGCCCCCAGCCCCCAGCCAACACTCTAACCACTGAGCACACTGGCCAGGACCCCAACTGTTTCCCTTGATTAAGACTCACTTCCACCCACTGCACTGACACTGCTCTCCCCAACTCACCAAGCGTTTTGCTTGCCAGAGTCAAAGGCCCAGTCCCATTTTTATCCTAATTAACTCTAAGACCTCATTCTTCCTGAACCAGTTTTCACTATCCCAGCTTCCACCCCTGCCTCTCAACTGCCCTATCTGGGTCTGGGCTTTTGGCCATTCCTCCTCAGGTGCCCCAGAGATGGTGGTATCTCTCAGCTCCTGACCTTCACCAGCTTTTGCTCTTCCTCTCCATCCCCTCACATCCTCAGCTAGTACTAGTACCTCTTGATGACAGAATCTTGACCTCCATCCAGTCCCCCTCTACCAGTCTCTGGACTTATATTCAAGTCCATCTGGACATTGCCCTGTCGAAGTCCACAGGGACCCTTGAACTCAGTGTCTACACAGAATTTACTTGCATACACACCCACATGTACCCAATCACCTGAGAGTCACTGCAGATTACTCCTTCTCTTACCCTCCACACCCATCAGTGCTCAGTGCCATCAACTCTACAGCCCTAACCACTCTCGGATCTATTCTCCCTTTCCACCCCACTGCCACCCCCATGGTGACTCACAAGAAGTCACCTGAACCCCAACAGTGGCATCTGAGTTGGGCTTCCTGACCCCTCATCTTCCCTCTCCTCATCTTTCCTCTCCATCTGCTGGTGTCCCCTGCTACGTGCAGAATGAAGTCTAAATTCTTTTTTTTAAATATATTTTATTGATTTTTTACATAGAGGAAGGGAGATGGATAGAGAGCTAGAAACATCAATGAGAGAGAAACATCGATCAGCTGCCTCCTGCACACTCCCCACTGGGGATGCGCCCGCAACCAAGGCACATGCCCCTGACCGGAATCGAACCCGGGACCCCTCAGTCCGCAGGCCGACGCTCCATCCACTGAGCCAAACCGGCCTCGGCGTAGAAATCTAATATTTTAAAATTCACATGAAAATCTGGCTAAAAGACATTTATTTTTGTTTTTTTAAAAAAAGCTTCAGGAGAAACTAAGATGGAGGCAT